AAAAAAAAATTACCTTAATACATATTTTAAAAATATGGTAATTTTTTTAAATAAAAATTTATTAAAATAATATAATTTTGAGATAATTTTTCTATTAATTTTTAAAAAGTAAAACTAATAAGCACTTTTTCATATATATGTATATATATGGTTATGGTAGCTTTTGTTAAGACCTTGCCCATATCAATTTTTTTTTTTTGAAGTAATTTTAAGGTTATGTTTTTTACATTAATAATGTATAAAATAACATTTATAATTTTGGCCTCACGAAAACTTAAATCCATAACTTCTAAGTCTTAACTCAATTATCTTAATATCACAATGACACACTGATTTATTTGTTTTAACGTCTTACCCTCTCTAATACTCTTATAAATTATATTTACGTGATATTAATATTAAAAATAATATTTATTGTTTATATTTTATTATATAAATTATTATAAAATATATAATTCATACATCTAAATAATAGAAAAATTCAACGAATAAATAAAAAATTATTAAAGCAAACGGTTTACGTTTGCGACGGGGCTGGTCCAGTTAGTGCACTCGGCGGTGGGGGCTTTTGTTGTTTGGGAACCTTCAAAACAAAACAAATGATACCAAAATTGCCTATTCTCAAAAACAGTAAATAAACAAGTAAATAAATAAAAATCTCTTTACTCTCCTTGTGGTTAATAACATTCACTTTCCCCCTTTTCTTCTGAATTCACTTAAACCAATCATGTTTTTATGATTTGGACCAAAAAAAAAAAAAGTCTACATATTTATGGTGTGACAGAGGGAGTTTAAAGTTTTTTTTTTTTTTAAAATTTATCCTTATGTTAAACAAATTATTACGCACTTGATCCTTCGAATCAGATGGTTTTCAATCATCTCAAAGTGCATCATCTTCTCTTTTTGGGCAAAATTTGAGTTCACCCCATAACACCTTGTTCAAAAAAAAAAAAAAATTGTTACAATATATATAAACAAATACGTTTATTTATAATAATAATTAAATATAAATGTAAAATTTTATGAACTAAAATAGACATATTTAATGAGACAATCGTTTTTAAATATTTGACTTATTTAAAATTTAAATTAAAATTTTTTTATTAAATATGTTATTATTAAGTATTAATCTTTTAATATTTGATAATCATATTAAACTTCAATTAATTTAAAATTAAACTATATTAAACATATGAATAGAAGTTTTACTCTTTATTTTTTTATTTATAAAATTTAAATTTAAGAATTTATTTAAAAAAAATTGCTAAATTTTCTTCATTCAAATCAACTAATTATTAATATTAAATAACACTTGGGATTTCGGATCCAGTAACATCAGATCACGTATAAATACATTAAATACATTCTCTCGACCCGAAGTAACAGTTCGAATCCGATTTTTTACAAATTTGTTAAAAAAAAATATTAATATTAAATAAATTATTAGTAAATCACTTAAATTGTACTTTAGCAATTTGTCCGTGTACTTTGATTATTAAAGACAACTTTTATTTGGCAAGAACCGAAAACTTTTCTGAAATTTCTCTTCTGCGTCTCCTATACTACAACTCGTATTGTATGTTTTTGAGTTTTTCTTGATTTTTTTTTTTTTAATCTGTTTTTGCCACCACATGTTTTTTAGACGTTGGCGTAATGCAAGGGCTCAAATTCAAAATGTATTCATTTACCAAAACACCCCAATTTCCCTCCCCCTTTTCCCCTTCCCAGTTCCCACTTCACACCCCCGCATAACTAGGGTTTTTCTCACCGAAATTTGGGACGATATTCAACCCCTCATAAACCCCAAAATTCCAGCATTTCGTCTGCAGAATTCAATCGATTTCCATTTCTTTATGTTCATCTCGCAAACATGAGTCAAATGGATTCAAATTCAAAACCCACGAACAATTCCAGAGAACTGGGCACGTACCACCCTCTCCTCTCGGAATCCATCGACCGGTTTCTTGTCGAATTCCGGAACGGCGCGACGGATTTCTCCAATTTCACCTCCATTTTCTCCCGTCTGCTCCACAATTCGCCCGACCCACCTCTCGAAGTCGTTTGGTTTTACTCAGCATTGACCTTCCACGCTGACAAGTCCACTGTCCAGGATCCTTCGCAACGGGTCTGTGCGACGAAGGGACTCTTCCAGCTTCTTTCTTCTTGCTCCTGTTCTTGTAATGCGGTCACAAAAGCTGCCGCGCTCGCTCCCGTTGTTTATGAGCTGTGCTGTTTGTTGTCCGACGAAAAATGTTCAAAGAGCGAGGCGGAGAGCTTACTGGAAGGGGTTATTAGCTATATTAGCCTCTGTAATACCCAAGAAGCCGAGGAAGACTACAGATTAAGCTCGCATTTTGTGGATTTGTTAGGGGTATGGATGGTTGATAGAATTGGGGAGAGCAATGGTGTACGGATTGATTATTTTAGGGCTTTTTTCCCAATTATCAGTGAAGAAGTTCGAGGGAGCATTGTTCTTGGATGTGGTGTTGGGTACTTGGCCGGTGTGGTTATGTGTGAGGCTTTCTTGTTGAGATTGTGTCTCATGTTCGAGAAAGGGCTTTCAAAAATGGAGGTGGAGAAAAATGCCCATCATTGCGCAGTCCAAATGATAACTGGGGTTCGAAGTCTTTACTTACTAGGTAAAATTCTCCCTTCTTTTTCTTCTTCCTTTTATTTTTCTTTTTGGGGTCCCTTCTCTTTCAATTATGATGTTCGTATTCCTGATTCTGTTTTCCGGTGGTTAACAGATGTCCTGCTCAAGATGCTGCTGGAACCAGTTTTGCCTGTAAACTATCTATTGGTAAGCATCTTTCTTTCTTCCATTAATTTTCCGTGTCCAATGTGTAAATGTTCGGAATGTTCGAAATCAAAATCTTAAAATCATGAAAAGAGGAAAAGAGGAAAAGAGAAGCAAATATTACATAGAGTTGTCCTAGGCATGAGATAAAAACGTCACTCTACTACTTGTAACCTTTTTGCCAGGGGCCAAGCCCATCACTAACTCTATAATTGGTAACCAATATGTATGGTCAGCTGGCGCTACCGGCCGCCACTCTTGGCCTCTATTATTAATCATCAGTTGCAGATATATATCCCAAATTTTTTCTAGTTAGTTAAAATGTTTTCCTGTTAAATAAGAAAACACCATTCTCTTTGAAAATTTCATTTTTCATTTATATGTGCCAAAGTTGTTCTTTTAAGTCCAAGAAAGCTGAAAAAAGTGGTTTTAAATTTATTAATGGAAAACTGCTTGTCCTTGTTGGTAATATTTGCAGGGTCCTGAAAATGAAGTGTTTTTAAGAGAAGTCTTGTATGATGCTGTGATAACGGTGGAATATTCATTCTTCAATCCTGGGGGTAGGATTTTGCTATCAAACAAGCAGCTTACAAATCTGGCTCTGATGTGGTTGTGTGTTGCTGACAGTGCAATACAGTTTGTTAGGTATTGTACTGTGAAGATGTTATCTAGATGCAGCTGATGTTTATTACTGTATCTCAAACAGTCTCACGAGCAATGATCTAATTGCTGCAGGGAAAACAGTAATCAGACCAAACTTTTCTCTTACTTAACTGCATTCTCCAAATCATGCCTACCTTCCCAGTTGCTCAAGTGGGTTTCTAATCAAGCAGGGATGGAGGAGGCAGGAATCAGAAATCTTTCAACCCCTGCATCTCTTATCAGTGAGTTGTTCTGGTATCCTTAGCCTCTTGTTGGCTTTTCTCTAGTGTTTTGCACCACCTGTGGTCTGGTTATGCTTCTAAACTTGCCATGCCATGATATGATGCAGTTTCATTCTTACCATCATTAAACCATTAAACATGCCATATCATGGTATGACTGGGTTTCATTCCATGAATTATGCATGATGGGTCTCGTATACGTGGGATGTGTTCTACTTCCATGGCTAATAGAGAAACTTGTGATTCTTTCCTTTTTCTCAGTTACTTCCTAATTGTAGTTTCCAAAATGTCTAATTATAAAGTAATGTCATCACAGAGTGGCTGCTAATTGTACAAGATCAAGGCTTGGAAATATTTGAAAGTGACATCTGCAAGATTTATGCCAAAGCTGTAGTTTGTAAGCCAACAGTAGAATACAATATACCAGCTGTGAACTTAGCTGCTCCTGGATTGTTGAAATCAACACCAATCAATGGTGTAAGAAAACGCGAAGAAGGAAGCAAGGTTGAAGGGCAAAAACCATTTAAGTGTGTCAAGTTTGCTTCTCATGATAATTCAATGATTGAGAAGTTATTCCCTTCGGTTAATGATGGTGGTTTGAGTAGTGGAAGTGAGGTTGATAATCCAGTTTCTGATGAAGATATGCAAGATATAGGAGGCATGGAAGATATGGAGCAAGAAATTCTTATTGATACATCATCATGAGGATGCTTGACTGGCAAACCTGACAGCTTCGCAGATTGACTAGAACAGATAAGAGACGCATTGCAACTCATTTTGCTGACATCAATTGATTTCCAATCTTATACATGATAACTTACTACAGACTTGTATGCTATCTTACTATGTCAAGCCATTAAACATTTGTGGCTGAAGAAGTCAGTTTTGGCATATTAAGATCGCTTCTCACATCGGCATCTACTCTTGTTTTCTACTAAAATCTATAATTCTATATCCTTCTCTGTATCAAAGTATCCTAGTTATGCAATACAAAGCAGTTATATGTAGAACTGTAAATGCTTCATGTTTCCTCCATTGCCAGCTGATATCTGCTGGATCTAAGCCTGAGCCCAGCTCTGATGAGTTGGGCTAAGACTGGGCAGAGCTTGATAATCTGATATTCTAATTCTTCTTCTTCTTCCTTTCCATTTTTGAACATGGCAATCTAATTGGGCTTGAGCCCAAGAAGAATAATGAAGAGCTTATTTGCTTTTCTTTTTCTTATTTTACAAGGAAAGAGAAAAAAGAGGTATCTAAGAAGTTGTAACTTGGTAAGGAAATTTCCACGTTACCTTATTTACCATAATTAGCTCTTTAACAAGATCAGAAAGAGATAATTTTTTTTTATGAATTTCTAGCAGCATCGAGAGATATATTATCTCTTTGGATTGGTGCTACCAAAGACAAAAAGGAGAAGATGCATGAGTAGATCTGGTTGAATAGGGACTGAATTCAATGTGTGAACAGATTAATTGATCACGTGTAAAGAATGGGCGTTGGATGTAGCACCGGATTCCACGTTTGTGGGTCACCGGGTCGGGCCCAAATCGCTCCGCAACCATAAATCTCCCCTTTTTTTCAAAGGGGTTTTCCGTACATTTATTATATTTTTT